CCTGCCTTGTATGTTCTGCTCATTTTCCTCTCCATGTGGTGGCCCTTGTCTTTCTTTATACTTATAACCTTGCTCCTCTTTTGAAAGCCTGCTCGCCTTTCATCTTGTAATCCTCTCCTTAAAACCCTTATTTGGACTTAATCTACCCAGCTTTTCTGGTGTTTCAGATGTGTTTTACTATGATAAAGGCAGTATGTATGTATGTTGTCTGTTCCTGCCTCCTTCCCTCATTAAATTGCAAGCTTCTTAAGAGTTGGGATCATTATTTGTTTTTGCCACCAGTCCTAACATGAAGTCTCACAAATAGGAAGTGCTTAACAAGTAAGGTTTGAATTTACCACAACTCTGGCATCACTCTCGTGTTGTTGTGGTAACCCTATCAAAACAGGAAATGAAGTTAGTTTAGGATGATTTGTTCATAACTGAGTCATTCTGGTTCCCCTTTCTTTCCTAAGTGATCACAAAACATGTTAAATAATCTCCAGAATTTTGTGGGCTTCTACTTTCACATTTACTGGTCAAATACATTTCTGGAATCTGTCTGTTCCCACCCACACAGGCCTGGGAATAAACCACACATCCAAAGAACCCTGGTTCCTTTTATGAGTGCTCCCTGATGAAGTAATTGATATAGAATACTGTATATACTGCACATAAAGTGTACTGTTTGATAAGTTTGACTTTCCCATGAAATTATCAACACGATAAAAATAATAAACACTCTGCACACAGCTTGGGTGGGGTTGTAAATTGGGTGGGGCGGGTTCTCAGGGAATCACCAGGGCAGAGCAAACCGCAATGGCTGCCAATCTGCTCTGCCTCAGAGAGGTCCTGGGGTCTGTGTCTCACAGCCCCATTCAGGAACAATGAACACTGCAAGCACATCTGTGAGAAAGCCGACCTCACGTTCCAGCTCGATGCCAGACAGTCCAGTTTCTCTTCGTATGAGTCTGGGTCCCCAAATTCTCACCCGGAACTGGAGTTCAGAGTAGTTGGGAATTTGTTTCTCCCACCTGATTGAAAAAGACAACAGCGTACCCAGCTGCCAGCCCCTTTTGCATGCGCCTCCATACATCTGCACTTCTGCACCTCTGCACCTCCTACCGGACTCCATGTGCTTTTC